CAATGAGACAAAATGCCCTCCATCTCATTTTCCAAGACACAAAGACGGATGACCCCGTCAGCTCCGATCCTGAAGAGATGCAGGTCATCCCAGAAGTAGTGCTTCAGGTCGGAGAAGAACTTTCTCTTGGCGTGAATCGTCATCCCCTTGGGGAGCTTCTGACCCACTAGATAATTTTTAAAATCGGAGTACCAAGGGGTGACACTCTTCACCAAGCACATCATCATCAGTCACTCATCTGGGAAGGAGTCGTTGATCTCCTCCACGAGGTTGTCCGCCGGAGGTGCTTCCAACCGGGAGAGATGATCAGCAACAACATTTTCGGCTCTCTTCTTGTCCTGGACCTCGACGTCTAACTCCTGCAGTAATAAGATCCATCGTATGAGCCGAGACTTGACATCGGCCTTGCTCATCAGGTATCGTATTGCGAAGTGATCCGTGTAGACTGTCACATGGGACAAGACCAGATAAGGACGAAACTTATCAAATGCAAACACCGCCGCTAGCAGCTCCTTCTCCGTGGTGGTGTAGTTCTCCTAGGCATCATTAATGGTCTTTGAGGCGTAGTAGATAGAACGGAAGTGATGATCTCGCCTCTGCCCCAGAACGGCTCCAACAGCAAAGTCACTGGCGTCGCACATCAGCTCGAACGGTAAAGACCAGTCAGGAGTGACCATGATAGGAGCATGAGTGAGCTTCTCCTTCAAGGTCGTGAAAGCCGTTGTGCACGCATCAGTGAACTGGAAGGGGGCATCCTTCTCAAGGAGCTTCGTCAGGGGCAAGGCGATTTTGGAGAAGTCTCCTATGAACCGCCCATAAAACCCTGCATGGCCCAAGAAACTGCGGATCCCCTTAACAGATGTGGCAGGAGGCAGCTTGCTGATTGTCTCGATCTTGGCTCTCTCTACCTCAATCCCCATCTTGAAGATCTTATGCCCCAGAACTATGCCTTCACGAACCATGAAGTGGCACTTCTCCCAACTCAGCACCAGGTTCGTATCCTCGCCCCGTTTTAAGGCGAGTTCCAGGTTGTGGAGACAGTGAGAGAATGAGTCCCCATAAACCGAAAATTCGTCCATAAACACCTCCATGATTTCTCCAACTAGTCGGTCGAAGATGGCCAGCATGCAACGCTGAAATGTGGTCGGGGCATTGCACAGCCCGAATGGGATCCTCCGGTAGGCAAATTTGCCAAAAGGACAGGTGAAGGTGGTCTTCGCCTGGTCTTCCGATGCAATGGGGATCTGAAAATACCCGAACATCCCATTCAGGAAACAGTAGAACTCGTGCCCCGCCAGCCTCTCCAGCATCTGATCAATGAAAGGCAACGGGAAATGGTCCTTCTGGGTGGCATCGTTGAGGCGACAGTAGTCGATGCATACGCGGTATCCGGTCACCGTGCGCATCGGGATGAGCTCGTTCTTCTAGTTGGGTACCACGGTCATCCCGTCCTTCTTAGGCACCACTTGAGTGGGACTGACCCACTCACTGTCAGAAATGGCGAAGATGATCCCCGCGTCCATCAGCTTCACGATCTCTGTCCGAACCACAACCTCCAGGTTCGGTGTCAGTCTCCGCTGGGTCTGCCTCACTGGCCGCATCTCATCCTCTAGTAGTATGCGGTCGGAACAAAAGGAAAGGTTGATCCCCCAAATATTAGTGATTTTCCATGCCAGAGCTTGCTCATACTTCTTCAACAAGGCCACCAGTCTGGCCTTCTGCTCGGGTGTGAGGGTCGAGCTAATAATGACTGGAAGCTTGTAACATAGGACCGGTGCAAGCCTCTTCCACGTCAACTTCATCCCCAGCATGGACGTCAATTGCTCTTTCAACCCCCCTTCCTTCTTCAAAATGTGGTATTTCCCCTGTGAAAAGATCAAGGACTCGTGTATCGGAAAACGACGCCAAAAACTTGACTCGCTATGACACAACTCCTAACAAATTCCAAGTGTAACCAATGAAACGGACTGCAGTATAGTGGCTTAAGTAATAAATATCGAATTCATGGGTCTCTAGAGTTACTATTACTCAGCTTCAGTTCATTATCTAGCAAACCAGATTAAGATAGAACAACTAAAACTACTTTAGCAAACTACAGTTAAAGTTAATCTAATTACAGGTTGAGAACTCACTTAGGTATGATTCCCCCTAGCCACTATCCAGATTAATGATTGATGATCTCTAACCTGTTTCATTTTCATTCACAATGCGAAGAATCCTTAACTAGACCTTGAGTCTCAACTAAAGGAACAAGGCCCTCTTGAGTCAATTGCCTAGAGGGATGTATGAGGTATCCTTCTCTAGAACAACCGATCAAGGCGTTCTGAACTAGACTCCTCTATCGAATGAGGTTCTCAATCTATACAAAGCATTGAATCAACCATCGACTAAAGCAATCGATCAATACTATCAATCTATGGTGCCCTATTGACCTAATCAGGTACTCGCTCTCATAGGATCAAAGCAAAATCAATAATCTTGACTAAAGCATAATTGAATCATGAAAACATGCATAGATTGAATATGAACTCAAGATTATCAAGTAAGAGTACTCATACAATCATCCAATCAAACAAACATAGCTAGGGTTCCTCAAAACCTAAGTGAAGGGAAGTTACTCCATAGAGAAGAGAGAGACTGCAGTAAGAATCTTCAGATGATCAGTCTTCAAATTCGGGTATGTTCCTCGAGCTTCCAAGGCGAATAAATCCCCCAATTCCACTCCAAGATTGGCCTCAAATCGCCCTCTCTCTCTTTGGTTCGTCCTTGGGTGTTTTGGAACCAAAACCCAGCTCTCCCCCTCTAAAATTCGCAGAAAACAGACTTATACCCGAGCAGGGACAAAAACACGGTCGTGTTTAGTCCTGCCCGTGTTTTGATCCCGCCCGTGTTTTAAATCCCTTCAGCAGTCTTCACAAGAGAGGCTCGGCATAAAAAACACTAGTAGTTGCCAGATGAAACACGGTCGTGTTTTTAGGGTAGTCTGCACGTGTTTCTTCCGTCGAACCTGTTCCCTATATTCAATGCTTCGTTTCTCCCTCGTCCGGACTCCGAATCAGCTGCCGTTTGATCCTAGACGCTCGTAGTCTCGTCCTCTTTCTTTTCATGAAAATATTGAATGATTATTTATCCATAAATGTGGTATAAATCCATTCTTCTTCAGGTCATGCCCGAGTTTCTTCTCCCGAATCGCCAATTGATCTCCGATTGACTTGAAACTTGCGCATATGCCTCCCTTTACTCACTAGGACCTAAATGTGACAAAGGAACACAACTTAGAATAAAATAGGCCAAAGAAGCGATAATGCAAGCTTAAACGATCAAGAAACAAATGGGAAAACATGTGCAAATATCAAGTCATGAGGCAGCATTTCGTTGAAATGAGTTATTTGGGCAGTGAGTTATTTAGGGGTCGTTCGGATTGAGTATTTGGGGGTGTTATTTGAACCCAAATAACATGTTTGGTGGCTGACAAAAAATGAGATGTGTTATTTGAATGTGGTGTTTTGCCAAATAAGAGGTTTGAGACCAAATAACACAAAAAGTGTTGTTTGCTAAATACTTGGGAGGGGACAGGTATTTGCCAAATAACAGGTTTGAGACCAAATATCACATACCAAATAAGAAGTTTTATATTATGTGGTATTTGTGTGGTAATTGGCTCCAAATAACAAGTTTGTCAAATAACTCATACCCCCTGTGTTATTTCGAAATAACTTGTTTTACCACTCTACTTTTGCAAAATACTACATGCCAAATACCACATTTGCATGGTTCTACAAAACAAGATACTTTAATCTAATTAATTACCACTGAAATACCAAATAAACGATTAATAAGTTATTTGGCTCTACAAATACCACATTGACAATTAATCCATCCAAACCACCTATAAGTTTTGATGGATTATTAGAAACCAAAATTCATGTTTGAGAAAGTAATTTAAAACCAAAATCCCATCTGAATGGGGAAAGTCCTAACCCCTCTTTGATTTTGCTTGATGGGCAGTCTTTTGAGCATTAATCAATGCCAACTGCCCATATGACTAACCAAACTGAAAATCGAACTAACGCATTGTTTAAGTTTTAACCCATGCAATGCAAGGTAGTTCTTCCCTGCCTAAATTCACCCGCATTTTCCCATGGTGCATGGTTTGAACACTCAATCTCAAGAGTCAAATATATATGATGCTAATATGAAATTCTCGCATGTGATTTCTGACATGACAAATATAGCATGAAATACCTTTAACTATTTTAGTGATGAATATAACACACACCATCAGCTCTCGTCGATGGTAAGTAATGAGAGATTAACGTACGTATGTAAGATTGATGTTAATAAATGTAGCATCTTCCTCTTCTTTCCTCTGTAATTAGTCCTTTAATCTTAGTCACGTAACAAGAACATATAATTTCAATAAAAACCAGTTTAAGATCTATATCAAACGGACCATTAGTTAACTATACATTCGTACCGATCACCTTGAGATTTATTCCTTTCCATGAACACCTGAAACAACTATCTGTTGGTTGAAACTAATTTGTTCCATTATAAAGTTTTTTTTTTATATATAGTCCAAAAGTCCTCGACTCCTCGTATACATAGGCATACGTATATACATGTAAAATACGTCCAATACCAATGTAGCACACCGGCAATTCATCATTAAAAATTACATATATAGGAAACCGGCCAACCAAATGTTCCGTATAGATCTCTCTTTTCTCTCTTTGCTATCAAATCTCCAAAACGTCACAACATAAACCTCCAACCTCTCCTTCCATCTTGTCTCTATAAATACCCATCAAACTTTCCCCACATTTCCCTTCACCCTCAACACATTCTCTCTACACATATCCCCTCGAGAGCAAAAAGAACAAACACAAAACCACTCTATCCAAAAACACCAATAACCACCTTAAATCACCTGCCTTCTCACGCAAGAAACCCTCTTATCTTTTCACACAAGAAACACACACACACACACAAACAAACCCATGCTTACGATGGCTCCTCCATCATCATCATCATCGCCGAGAGTTCTCTCTCTAATCGCCACCATCATCATATTCTTCTTCATCTCCATCACTCTTTCATGCCATCATTGTGTTGCTGATCATCAACGTGATCATCATTACACCATTGAACAAGAAATCGAAGAGCAACAAGGCGAAGGAAGGTCCACGGGTGCTTACAATGGTGATAATCATTATTATCATCATCATGGTTTTGAAGCATATCCTTCCTCATCCTTTGGCATGGTGGCCCATGATGGTGATGATGATGATGCCCATTCCATGGAATTGGTGAAGCTTGCAAGTGATGTTCTTAGCTTCAAGACAACCGAAAAAGTGGGTGCTACATCTTCTTCTTCTTCTTCATCATCATCGTCATCGTCGGCACAGAGAGTTCAAGTTGAAGATTATAGAAAGTACGCTGGTGGCAACGATGACACTAAGGTATCGTATGTGATTGAATTTCCTGTTCGAGTTTCTATCAAGTTTAAGCTTTCAACAAATTCATCAAATCTTATATTGGTCAGTGAAGCATATTGTTTTTAGTGGCCGTATCTAGTTCAGATAACGTTAAATAATTCGGACAGCCCATGCCCCTATACGAGTCAAGTAGTCGCGCGCCTATGTCAGATAAGTCTAGGATTTGATTCCACGACAATAAATAAAATTAAAGTTGGGCATGATTTTTTTGGCAAGGTTATTTGGTATGCATTTACTTTCCTTTGATTTCATGATGCAAAAGCGTGATTTGATTTCATGATCAAATCACAATAAATACTTACGTAAATCTCTAACTTAATGACTCGATATGATTTAATACTTTTTTTTCCCCCCTCAATGCGTCAGATGTTTGAGAAAGCGTGGGAGGCAGCTTGCAGCAAAAAGGGCTCCGCGGTTCAGCTGGTCGTGCCGGCAAAAAACAGTTACACTGTCGGCCCAATCACGTTCTCCGGCCCATGCAAATCCAGCAGTCTGACGGTCGAGATCGCCGGCACCATCCAGGCCTCCGGCGACCGGTCGGATTACAAGGAAGACACCAGCCACTGGCTTCTGTTCGAAGGCATCCAGAATTTGGTCGTCCAAGGTGGTGGCACCATCGATGGAAACGGCAACGTTTGGTGGCAAAACTCTTGCAAAGTCAACAAAGCTCTCGTAAGTTTACTTGCTAATTTTATTAGTTAGTTTTTTTTTACCCAAGAGAGATTGCATTTGTATCTGATCTGTTTTATCTGATTGTTCGACATGGATGGGTATTGTATTCTTTTATCGACCTCAATTGTCCGATTTATCTTATTGTTGATCCTTTTTCCCCTAAATTATATATGATTTTACTCAAACTAATTATAATTTTTTATTTATTATCTTCTATTTTAGCTATAATAAACTAATAAATAGGTGAGATTCTTAATTAATTATAATTTAATGACATTTATCACATTATAATTTTTTTATTAATAAAAATAAATATTTTAAATGTTTTTCTTTTAAATTACATTATCGACTAATCCCTACTCACACTCGATTATAAATTGCCCAACCTGAACCAGGCTTGTGACGAAAAGAAATATGGCCTATCTCATTGTCATTCCTATCCTAACGATGACCTAATATTATATAAATAATATCTGCAATTTTGTGGCGCTAATATATTACAATTTCCTTTTTGTTTTTGCAGCCATGCAAGAAAGCCCCAACGGTACGAAATTAATCATTTTTTTATGGAATCCAGAATAATTAGTTCTATAACTAATTATAGAAATAAAATAATTATTTAGCCTGAATTTGTCCTCCATGCGTCATATTTCCAGGCGGTGACGTTCTCGAAATGCAACAACCTGGCAGTGAGGAACCTGAGGATCCAAAACGCGCAGCAAATGCACCTCACCTTCCAAGCCTGCACCAACGTCCAGGCCGCGAACCTCGCCGTGAAGTCGCCGGAGAAGAGCCCCAACACCGACGGGATCCACGTCACGGGGACCAAGAACATCCGGATCTCCGACGCCGTCATCGGGACGGGCGACGACTGCATCTCCATCGTGTCGGGCTCACAGAACGTGGAAGCCGCGGGCATCACTTGTGGGCCGGGCCACGGGATCAGCATCGGCAGCCTGGGGGCCCACAACTCCCAGGCCCACGTTTCGGGTGTCACCGTGGACGGGGCCAGGTTCTCCGGGTCCACCAACGGCATCCGGATCAAGACGTGGCAGGGCGGGTCGGGCTCCGCGTCCAACTTCAGGTTCCAGAACATCGTGATGGATAACGTGGAGAACCCGATTATTATCGACCAGAATTACTGCGATCAGGACGAGCCCTGCAAGGAACAGGTAATTATGATCCTGATCTCCTTTTTCCTTAAAGAAATTGAAATAGAACACGAGAGACAATTGATAAACGTTCTTGTTACAGAAATCGGCAGTGCAGATAAAGAACGTGGTGTACAAGAACGTGAAAGGGACGAGTGCTTCGGAGGTGGCGATCAAGCTGGACTGCAGCAAGAGCTTCCCGTGTCAAGGAGTGGTGCTACAAGATGTTCATCTAGTGAGGCAAGGGTCGCAGGAGGATAAAGGAGCCAGGGCTGAGTGCAGCAATGTGAAGCTGAGTGAAGTTGGGGCAGTTTCTCCAAGCTGCGGCCATTGAATTGGTGAATTCATGAATGAACGAAACCCTAATTTCATTCCACATGAATTGGGTTGATGAAGAAACTGAAAGATTGATAAACATATGTAGTGGATTGTTTGATGTAAATATTGATGTAGTTACAGTAAATAAAGTGAACACAAATGGAGTCACACACACTAGAAAGTAATAGTATACAGATCATACTTGTAAACTGCTGGTTCGATTTGAATTTGGGATCGATTTGATAATGTACATAGCCGATTTGAATAAAGACCACACAGGTGGAAGTAATGTTGATTGCTAAAGTATTGGGCCTGAGCTGCCTTGTCCAGTTTGTTGATCAGTTGGATGGGCTAACTGCAAGTTATATACAGTTAACCCAAGGATATAAAGGTAAATGGAAGCCCATGGGCCAATGGGCTTTTGGTTTTATTTGGGCTGGGAATCAGAATGTTCGGTGTGAGTTCATTACAATTGGAGGAAGAGCTATGATATAAATAATGCCATGTGAGGTCACATGCCCTTATTCATATGCTTCAAATTTCAATCATGTGAGAGGTTAGAGATTGGGTGAGTGAGTGACTCAGAGTCTATTTTTGTCTTCCAGGGAAAGCAAATCAAAGGTAGAGCAAGAGTTATGAAATATACCAAGATGGACTTAAAGAACTAGGGTCATTTTGGATGACATGTTTTTAAAATGAGAGACTTGGGACAAAAGCATCCTTTAAAAAATATGGAATAGAGGAAATTTGAGAGACGTGGAGAGAGGGAGATCGCTTTGAGGAGGAGATTTGTGATGGGGTTGAAGATAGGGATGGCAATGGGTCGGGTTGGGCGGGTTTTGTCAAACCCAAACCCAAACTCATGGGTTTATCCGCCAAAAAAATTCGGGGTAAAACCTATTGGGTTTGAAAAACTCAAACCCAACCAACCCGCTGGGTATCCGCGGGTTCATGGGTATCCGTGGGTTTTTGTGGTAAAAAATTTACAATAACAAGTTTCTTTCAAAATAAAAGTTTTACATCAATTTTCTCATACAAATTAATCATACAAAAAACACTAATCTAGAGCATACAAGCAAACCGCAAATGATCAATACAAATTGTTCAAAAATAAAGATAAACATATATAAACAATAAGATTAATTGAAAGCTTCTTCCTCGTCAACTTAGTTTCTTCACTCTCCACTTCATCATATCAAGTTATCAACTTCATTCTAAACAATTAGAAAGAACAAATTATACATGTCTCCACAAACATAAAGAATATTAGTTGTTTAAGGAAGATATATTATTTAGAATATTAAATATATTGGAAAAGTAATTATATGTGTGTGGGCGGGTACCCATTAGACGGGTTTACCTAAATAATTCCCCCATGTTGACAGGTTTTGGGACGGGTTTCTGGTTTAATTACTTTCATGTCCCATGGGCCATGGGTAAATATCTCAAACAATGGATTTTGGAAAAATGGCACAATCCCACCAATAAATATCTCATACAAATAACCTCTAGATTTGTGAATTCATCAACTCTTTCGCATTCAAAATTCATTGCCCATATTTTTTTTTTTTACATTTCTCTCTCTTCGTAATATATCAACCGATAAATAACGAGCATATAAGTCAAGTGCACAACTCATCTCTCCCAATTCCACCAACCAAACAATCCCAATCCTCAAAATCTTCCTTTTTTTCTCTCTTTCCCCGTCCAATCTTTATTGTATTAGCCATTAGGTACGTGAAAGGGATCGCATCCATGGTCAGTAGAGTGGATCAAGAGTTGATGTTATTCATTAACGAACCAGAAAGCAATCGTTGCCGATGAAAGATCAGTGAACTCAGAGGTGACAGCTTACTCGCTACTGCCAGCTTGTTATTTGCTAACAAGCACCCATTGCTAGCTGCGTTCTGTAAGTAAACCAACCTGCTCCCTCCCATGTGAAATACCCAAATCGCCCCCCTTCGTTCCACTATCACTTTCGCACATCCCGGCGGCAGAATCCACGGCGGCCGATACAAGAGAGGAAAAAAGGGAAAAAGAGAAAAGAAAGAAAGAAAATAGCTAGCGGGTGGTGGTGGTGGTGGTGGGGACAGTGGGGTTTTTTTGGCGGATCTGTCGGTCGAGTGTCGGTGTGGGCTTTGATGGAATTTTGCCAATTTGGTCCTTTCTTTTAATTGGATCGATCGAGAGAGAGAGAGAGAGAGAGAGAGGGATTAAAGAAGCATTCGGCTTCTCCTTCTACTTCTGCTGTTGCCACATCTTCCGCTTCATTGCTATTCTCGCTCGGCAACAATGGAGCACGAAGCTGATCATGGCGGGGTCAGTTCTCTCTCCCCCTCTTCTCCTTTACTCTCTCTGCGTCGGAATTGAACTGCTCTTTGACTCACTCTCTCTAGTCTCTACTGCTCTGAGAGCTCGAAGTCTTCTACACGCTTCCCCCAATTTCTGAATTGGCGACTGCGTAGATTTGGAGTTCCATTCAATTCCCCATTTTATCGATTGATTCGAGTTCGTTCAATTCCAATGCATCTCTCTCGGATCCAATCCGTGTTCTCTAATTTGCCGCCCGTTACTCCAGAGTGGAGTTGATTTGATTGCTATGTGGATCTGTTGTATTGCCTTTCTCTTGACTGTCTGTTTGAGTGGTGGACTGACAATGGTTGCTTGTGGAAACAGACCAAGAGCGTAAAGCATCAGGTCTGCCAGATCTGCAGCGATGATATCGGGAAAACTGTGGATGGGGATTCCTTTGTTGCTTGCCAAGTTTGTGCATTTCCCGTCTGCCGCCCTTGCTACGAGTACGAGCGGAAAGACGGCACTCAGTCCTGCCCGCAGTGCAAGACCAAGTACACTAGGCACAGAGGTCGCTCTTTCAGACCCTTCCTGCTTTTATCTACTGTTGTTTGTGAATTCTGGATTCTCAATTTCATTGTTGAAAGCGATCGGATGTGTTTGTTCTTCAGGAAGCCCTCCAATTCACGGGGAACAGGTGGACGACGGGGAGCTCAAGGATTTGGGGAGCAAGTCAACTTCTTCTCACCCCACAGTTGGGATTCAAGATGAGAAACACAAGATCGATCGTATGTTGGGATGGGAGTCTGGCTCGGGTCGTAAAGAATATTTTCCTCATTCATATGAGAGAGACGGGTCTCTCACCCATGTCCCTTATGCAGCTAGTAGACCTTCGGTATGGTCTTGGGATTTTGGATCATTGCCTTGGATTTGTTTCATGTTTATCAGAAGTATTGAAACTGAAAGAATCTATTTGTCATTCCTTTTTTGCGTTTCAGATGTCTGGGGAACTCTCTGCTGCATCTCCTGGGCGTTTCTCGATGGCTTCTCCTGAGAGTGGCAGCAGAGGTATTCATGAATTTTCCTCTCGTAATATGTTTTTGCTTTTTATTTGTGTTATGGTGTTTTTACGTTGGATCGAATCTTGATACCACGAGTCTGATAATATGCAGCAACCATAAGACTGGGGGATGGACAGAGGGAATATGGGTCGGGTGGGTTTGGCAATGTAGCTTGGAAAGAGAGAATTGATGGTTGGAAGATGAAGCCAGAGAAAAGTGCAGCTCCACCAAGTGTTAGCAATGCACCCTCGGAAGGCAGAGGGGGTGCAGATTTTGATGCCAGCACCGATGTGCTTATGGACGATTCCTTACTGTGAGTATCATAGCACTTGTTTCAGGACTTCCAAGTTGGCAGATAATTTGGATAATCTCTTATAACATGTCTCTTATTGTTGCTGCAACAGGAATGATGAAACTCGTCAACCGCTGTCAAGGAAGGTTCCAATTCCTTCTTCCAAAGTTAACCCTTACAGGATGGTCATTGTGCTGCGGCTTGTCATCCTTTGCATCTTCTTTCACTACCGCATAACAAATCCAGTCTGGGATGCCATCCCCTTGTGGTTGATTTCTGTTATTTGTGAGATTTGGTTCGCAGTATCATGGATATTGGATCAGTTCCCAAAATGGTTTCCTGTGAACAGGGAGACATATCTAGACAGGCTATCGCTTCGGTAAAATTTCTCTTTCTTTTGTCCAATTTAAACTGGATCCTGAAGATGTGCTAACCCCAGGTCTTGCATTCTCTGCAGATATGAAAAAGAAGGAGAAATATCTCAATTAGCTTCTGTTGACATCTTTGTCAGTACGGTGGACCCTTTGAAGGAACCTCCACTTGTCACAGCCAATACGGTGCTGTCAATTCTTGCGGTAGACTATCCCGTGGACAAAGTTTCTTGCTATGTTTCAGATGATGGAGCTGCTATGTTGACTTTCGAGTCCTTAGCTGAAACAGCTGAATTCGCTAGAAGATGGGTTCCTTTCTGCAAGAAATACAGCATTGAGCCACGAGCTCCAGAATGGTATTTTTGTCAGAAAATTGACTATTTGAAAGACAAGGTTCATCCTTCATTTGTCAAAGACAGAAGATCAATGAAGGTGGAGTGTATTAACTCTCTAAATTCTGGAAGTACTGCAGGTATTACATAGTTCAATTCTGATTGCAAATTATATAATTTCAGAGAGAATATGAAGAATTTAAGATTCGCGTCAATGGGCTTGTGGCCAAGGCACAAAAGATTCCCGAGGAAGGATGGTTCATGCAAGACGGTACACCGTGGCCTGGTAACAATACCAGAGATCACCCAGGAATGATTCAGGTTTGTGCATCTGGTGCTGGTAACATTAATCAGTATGAAGTAACTTCATCATCATAAGTTCCTACATGTTGTGTGTGTTTGTGATGCGTTCATGGACAAGAATGATTCAGGTTTGTGCATCTAGTGCTCATAACATTAATCAGTATGAAGTACTTAATCATGATAAGTTCCTACATGTTTTATGTGTTGTGATGCATTCATGCACAAGATGGAACCTCTTGTCTCAGGTTGCTAACTGGAACTTTGTGGTACTCGAGATATCTTTACTGCCACTTTGATGTCATGACTTGAAAACTATAAATGAACCAAATATGGGTGACTTTCTTAACATGAATTAATAGAATTTAGATTTTACTTCTTTTGTGAAGGAAGTTTTGATTTGATATTCACATATGACTCTTTTATGATCTTTGTTGATCAAGATTAGGGTGTTGGTTCCACAAATCACCACTTCAAACAAGAGCATGTTCACGTTGGATGTATCAATGCTGATGTTGCCTTACACTTTCTTGTTGCATCTTTGTAGGTTTTCCTAGGCCACAGTGGAGGACTTGACAGCGACGGCAATGAACTTCCGCGGCTAGTATATGTATCTCGTGAAAAACGTCCTGGTTTTATGCATCACAAAAAGGCTGGTGCCATGAATTCTCTTGTAAGTGGGTAGTGATAAATCTTTGCTGTCTATCTCCTATTGTTGAAAGTTGTTAGTATAATGATCTATATTTCTGTCATACAGGTGCGTGTTTCTGCAGTTCTGACTAATGGGCCATTCTTGTTGAATCTTGATTGTGACCATTACATAAACAACAGCAAGGCGTTGAGAGAAGCTATGTGTTTTCTGATGGATCCTAATCTGGGAAGATCAGTATGTTATGTCCAGTTTCCACAGAGGTTTGATGGTATTGACAAGAACGATCGATATGCCAACAGGAACACTGTGTTCTTTGATGTAAGTCCCACTAAAATACTGCCTAAACTGTTGTATGTTGACTATTCAATGATCAGAATGCTGTGGACAGTTGATTATATATGTAATGCGTTCTTGACTACTTTTCTTTTATCTTATAAGTCATTTAACAAAACATGCCTTGATTTTAGATGAATTTGAGAGGATTGGACGGCATCCAAGGACCTGTCTACGTGGGCACAGGGTGTGTGTTCAACAGGACAGCATTGTATGGCTATGAGCCTCCCTTCAAGCCTAAGCATAGCAAACCAGGGTTCTTATCTTCATGCTTCGGTGGTTCCAGAAAGAAGAATTCTAAATCAAGCCGAAAAGAAAAGAAAAAGTCGAGCAAGCATGTTGACCCTACTGTCCCAGTCTTCAATCTAGAAGATATAGAAGAAGGGGTTGAAGGTAACTAAATAATCGGAAGTTCTGTCCATATTTCACAATAAGTATATACCATTGAGAGTTCCAACTCTGATTGATTAGAGTCCTGGTGTGTGTATTTTTCTTCCAAATATAGCCCACTGTGATTCGGTTTTATATTGGGGAAGGCAGAAGAAGCCTCTTTATGTTTCACTGAGCTCTCCTACACAAGCTTTAGTGAATTCACCCCTTCTGAGTCCAACTTGTGCAACCTTTGTATTCCCTTAAGGATTAAATTTGAAAAAAATTGTTGGGTAAATTTCAGTTGGTGACTCTGGTGGTGTTATATGCAGCATGCTTAGTCTTGTATAACATCTGATGCCATTCATTGTGTATTTTTTGCTTCTCCTAGGAGCTGGATTTGACGATGAAAAGTCACTGCTTATGTCACAAATGACACTAGAGAAGAGGTTTGGTCAATCAGCAGTGTTCGTTGCATCAACACTTATGGAAAATGGTGGTGTTCCTGAATCTGCCGCCCCAGAGGCTCTCCTGAAGGAAGCTATCCATGTGATTAGTTGTGGCTATGAAGACAAGACAGACTGGGGACAAGAGGTACACAACCATATTTTCTTTTGCTTTAATAGAATCAAATTTGCCTGAAGGTTTCAGTAGTTGCCGAACAAATTTTCCTAATGAAGTTTTTCCTTTTCTTTTTGAGCAGATCGGGTGGATTTATGGTTCAGTGACAGAGGATATTCTGACAGGATTCAAGATGCATGCTCGTGGTTGGAAATCCATCTATTGCATGCCTGAGCGCCCTGCATTCAAGGGTTCTGCCCCCATCAATCTTTCTGATCGTTTGAATCAAGTGCTTCGATGGGCTTTGGGTTCAGTCGAAATTCTCTTCAGTCGCCATTGCCCTATATGGTATGGGTATGGTGGGAGGCTGAAATTTCTCGAGAGATTTGCCTATGTCAATACTACCATTTATCCCATCACATCCATTCCGCTTGTAGCCTACTGTACATTGCCAGCTGTCTGTCTCCTTACCGGAAAGTTCATTATTCCTCAGGTAAATCACAAATAGTTCTCCTTTGCATATACTCAGCTTCAGCACCAAGTTTCGATTGTCGCTTATATAATTTGTGGCTTTGATTGCAGATCAGTAACATTGCCAGTATCTGGTTCATATCCCTCTTTCTTTCGATCTTCGCAACTGGTATTCTGGAAATGAGATGGAGTGGAGTTGGGATTGACGAATGGTGGAGGAACGAACAGTTCTGGGTCATCGGAGGAGTATCAGCCCATCTATTTGCCGTCTTCCAAGGCCTGCTCAAGGTCCTAGCTGGAATAGACACCAACTTCACTGTCACTTCTAAAGCATCCGACGAGGACGGAGATTTTGCTGAGCTCTACTTGTTCAAGTGGACGACTCTGCTGATCCCACCAACCACTTTACTAGTGATCAACCTCGTCGGAGTGGTTGCCGGAGTCTCGTATGCCATTAACAGCGGGTATCAGTCATGGGGGCCTCTCTTCGGTAAGCTCTTCTTTGCCTTCTGGGTGATCATTCATCTCTACCCGTTCCTGAAAGGTCTGATGGGTCGTCAGAATAGAACCCCCACCATTGTCATCGTGTGGTCCATCCTCCTTGCTTCCATCTTCTCGTTGCTGTGGGTCCGAATCGACCCGTTTACTACCCGGGTCACTGGGCCTGATGTGGAGATGTGTGGAATTAACTGCTAGATAGAGGTAAAAGAAAGTACACTTATTCTAAGCCGTAGGCAGATATGCAGCAGAGCAGAGATTTGAAGAAGAATCACGAGGGTGCCTGCCTGCCTGCCCACCCGCCCTGGATGTTTGCTGTTTAGCCATGTGAAGCTAGCTGGTGGGAGTAGATGTCAAATTTATGTTGATCAGTGCAATAAGGGTCGGATGTATTTATATGTCGGTTATTTTGTATAAGATATCTCTGGGTGGCCAGTGTTTTTTTTTTTTTTGTTTTGTGTAGTTTTGATTCTTTAGTTCTTTGGACATTCAGTGCCATTGGTCTGTTGTAATTTATACATGTGTTGGAAGGGAAAGGATAGTCCTTTTAATTGTTCGATAGTGACTTTGGGGAGGGTATAGCTGCTGCTGTTTTTTTTTGTAATTTTATGTGTTTCTTTACGACTTGGAATACTGGACAAGAATGAAAAAAAAGGGTTCTGATACCGTAGTCCTTTGGTCCTCCTGGTTCTGCATCATTATTGATTCTGATACTGAACTTACTAGGTGCGCTATGATTTGTTAGAAGACGTTCTTTGTACTCTAAGGTCTGTTTTCTGATATTTCTTGCTGCGCGTTATTTGAACAGACCTGTCCATTTAGCGGCTATATGAGCCCTGTGTGTGGCTAAAGTTAATCTGCTAAGCTAACTTGAAGATTCGTTAGCAGATACTAACTGATATCCAAAATACATGAATTAGTATCCAAGTACTAAAGTATCTAGAGAGTAAAGTCTAGTATTTAAAATTTACTAACTGATATCCACCATGAATCAACTATTATCCCAAATTCACAAACTAATATCTAGACAACACAGAATAGTATCCATACAACACATAATTAGTATCCAGATCACACATAAGATATCCAAATAACACATAAGATTATCCATATTGAATACTAGTTGGTTGATTGTGGATATTAGTTGGTATCTGCTATCTGGATACTAGTTTGTGATGTTTTGAATACTACTCTGTGCTATCTAGATACTCAGCAAACTTGGATATTAGTTCATACATTTTGGATATTAGTTAGTATATACTAACGAATTTTCAAGTTAGCAGAATAACTAGGCTGGATTTGGCTAAAGTTAATCTGTGCTCCAGATTAACTTTATATTTATCAGAAGCTCCAGATTCTCTGTCACAGATCACGATATGTGATGAAACTCTGCTTGGTTTTCATTCAACTGAATCGCCATTGGTATATAGTGGTAGGCGAGCCTACTTCATTATTTTTACTGGGAACTTGTGAGTACTTGTTGTGAGTGGTCAGTGTGGTGAATAAAAACAAAACAAGCGAGGATTCCTAAATTCCATGCACACCCAGCTGCACCAGAATCATTGCCCTTCATTTGGCAACGGTCAAAACGTATGAATAAATAACCCACCAACCACCCCTGTTGCTGCTGTTGACACAGCCAGAAAACAGAGACCCACTGTTGGCCTAATATTTTTCTGTTGTTGTTGCTATAATCAACGTAAAAACGTTCATCATTATGAACAGTTGTAAAAGGAAGGGGTGTCAATCAAATCCAACGGTCGACTGCCCTTTTGTGGGGTTCTTTAATAAAACAAACACACTAATAAATCATTCAAAAGTAATTATACTGGTAAAACATTATTGTGGTGCGGCGGTTTATGATGCTGTTACATTACCTTTTATGCTTGCTTGACATTGAAGAAATGTTTTGGGTAGCAAAACGTGAAATGTTTCGATAATTTGAGTAATTTAGCCTATGTAGTCTGGAGAAATGCTTGCTTAATAAGTTAACTATTATAATACTAAGTCAATCTGCAGTATTAATTCTTGTCAAACTTGAAATTGAACAAACGATAAAGGGAATTAAAACAATGGATCAAATTAATTAACGAACTCCTCATTTTTTATACAGAATCAAAATCACACATACATTAATACGAGACTCCCAAGAAGCAGCAGAGTACGCGTAGTAAAGCAGTTTTTGTCACTTCTTTGACTCTTCCGCAGCTGGTTTCGCTTCCGGTGCGGGTTTGGCGGGTTCCTCCGCCGCCGCAGGCGGCGCCGGAGCGGGTGGAGGGACGGCGGTGACGCCGCCGTCGATGCAGCTCCGGCACTTCCTCTCGACCCATCCTTCAACGTCGTGCTCGCGGCTGCTCAAATGCCTCCCCCCGCAGAGGCGCGCCACCATCCCGGCGAACACCGCGACGATGGTGATCACCGCCAGCACCACCACCAGCGTTTCGATTGATTTCTGTGAATAATATCGGCCTGCCTCCCCTGCCGAAGTCTGCGCCATGGCCACCGACGCCGCGGCGGAGGCTTCGGGTGCCAGAGCGTCGCTCAGCCTTTCTTCCAGCAGGATCCTCATCGTCGTTAAAGAGTTCTAAGAGCAATACAGAGAGAGATTTTTGACGGCAGAGTGATGAAATGAGAAACAGAGGGTGGGAGTGGGAAAGTGAGCTGTGAAGCGTCGCTAGCTGGCTTTTAAATTTAGTTGTTGGGCTTTCGTTATTGGACAAAGTGAAAGAGGCCGTAATTTCAGGCCCAGTTATGTTCAGAACGAGGCCCGCCAGCTACGCTGGGCTGAGAACAATATAAGTTTAGGTAGTCAAATGGTGATACCATCTGAATTTGGGGGTCCAAATGTAACTTTGTTTTGAAAACAGAAAGAAGGAAGGGAGACAGACTGACAGAGGTACGACTTCCTTATTTCCTCTTGTACAAAAAAACGAGTCGTCTTGTCTTCTCTCTTTCTTTCCCGTGCCGTCTCCTTCCTTTCTTCTCACCGAAGCTTCCGATTCTGCGGTCTCTCTCTGTATACGCGGAATCGGAAAATCACCTCCCACCTTCCTTCTTCTCCGATTTTTCTTGCCGGAACATTTTCAATCGGAGAAGAATTGAGGGAGCAACCGGATAGAGAAGAAGGAGAAACGGTAACTTTCGTCATCGATTTCCTCATTTTGGGTTGGGAGAGGGCGCGGGAAGGGGGAAAGCTGCGACCATGGGGACGCCGGCATTTCCAGATCTCGGTAAACACTGCTTCGTCGAAGATTGCAAGCAGCTCGATTTCTTGCCTTTCACTTGCGATCGCTGCCGCCAGGTGCCTCCATCCCTTCATTTCCTTCTTCAATTGCTTCGGATTGGGAAAGAATCTTCAATTTTGGTTCCAATGCTACTCTGCTTATGCAATTTCTAGTCAGAAACAAGATCTTCTTTGCTGAGTTTGTGTATTTAGTAGCTTGAATCGTGATTTATTAGAGGTTTTAGTTTGAAAGTGTCTTGGCTTGGATGTTCTTGTTAAGGAGAAAGGAGTCTGGGTGTTGATGTTGGTGGCTGCTTGATGCTTGTTTAGGATGTAGTTGCTTTGAACAAACTATACATCTGCTGGCTTTGTATTCGTATTTCTTCTTTACATTCGATCTTCGATTTTGGTAGATTAGAGCAGAGATTGGTGTTTTGTTTAGCAAGAATGATTATCTTCTGAGAATGAACTAGAGAGAGTTAATTAGAATGCTAAGCTGAGAATGATCTAGTTTTCTTGGTCTTACTAATGACTATGATGTATTATTCAAAAGGAAAGATCATAAATATCTGGCTTCCTGTATGCACTTAGCCTCCGCCCTCCAGTGATTCTGAATGTTCGGAAACAAAATCCCAAGGTGAAAATGTTGCAACTGAAACAGATGTAGCTACTGATGAAAGGGTCGTTTACATTTCAGTTTTAGTTTCCGCTTCGAGCTGCTTTTGCAGTTTCTTCCGTTAGGATATATTGAATCAAAGAACTAAGTTATACATTGTGGATTACATTATAGCACTTTAGATACACTGGAAAAAGTTGATTGGGATTACCAAACACAGATACACTGGAAAAAAGTTTAATTCTACCTGATTGCAACTTTCACAACCAAAGCTTCTATGAGACCTCTTTACTAGTAGAATTGGTATAGATTGGTGTTCTTTCTACTACCTGATCAAGTCGCAGCACGATACATGGATTGTGTTTTTATGATGTTCTTCTTAGTAGATACCCTCAGGTGGGTTGGTTAGCTATGAAACAAGTAGGAACATGAATTTGTCCATTCCAATGTCTGGAACTCCTGAAGCTGAATTGAAGCATGCATTGCCTTTGTTAGATTTGGTTTCCCTATCTTTTGTAGCCTTTGCTACTCTTGAAAGTTGCTTTGTTCAAAAAGATCTGAAATTCTTACATTATCCTGATCATGTACTGCGGTGTGGGATGATAGGTTTTCTGTCTGGATCATCGAAGCTACCTCAAACACAACTGTCCAAAAGGTGATAAGAAGGACGTTACTGTTGTCATCTGTCCACTCTGCGCCAAGGGAGTTCGTCTAATCGGCGACGAAGACCCAAACATCTCATGGGAGACACACGTCAACACAGAATGCGACCCTTCAAATTACGAAAAAGTCACAAAGAAGAGAAAATGCCCCGTCCGAGGCTGTCGAGAAGTTCTCACATTCTCCAACACAATCAAATGCAGGGACTGCACAAAGGACCACTGCTTGAAGCATCGATTCGGCCCTGACCACACCTGTCCTGGTCCCAGGAAACCCGATGCAGGCTTCCAATTCATGAGCCTTCTCAGCAGGAGCCAAAAGGAAGAACCACCAAGACCCAACAACCGAGCTCCTCCCACAACCACATCCTCAGCAACAAATTGGACCTCAAACTTTCTCAGTGCAGCATCCAACGTCCGAGCCTCTGCTGAAGCTGGAGTGTCGAAACTGGGCCGGGAACTGAGCCAAGCGTGGCTGACAGCAAGAGACGGCATTGGGCCTAGCAGCAGCAGTGGAGGGGGAGCCGAGATGGACGAGCAGTGTCCACAGTGCGGTGCCAAGTTCGCGTCGGTTATGACCCTGGTCGACCATGTAGAGAAGGTGCACGAGAAGAAGAATCAACAACAATCTCGGGTCTTGAAGTTGCCTGTAGATGTGTGTCCCAAGTGTAGTAAAGGTTTCCGTGATCCTGTGGACCTTGTGGAGCATGTGGAAAGGGACCATGGAGGTACCTCGAAAGCTTAGGCAGTTTTCTTCCGGGCCTTTTGGAACTGAACTGTCTACTGATTCGATTGATCCCAATTTAAGGTGGTGACTCTTAAATCTGAAAAGAAATGGAAAAAAGATTGTTACTTCGATTCAATTTGGAGCAAATGCCAGTTACCAAGTACAAACAAAGCAATGATTTTGATTTCTTATGAAACCTTTATTTCTTTCACTATCATATCACAATTTCAAAAAATAATTACCAGTACGGAAATGGCGGGCAAAAGAGGGAGGCGGGTAATTAACTGTCGAAATGGCGGAGAACAAAAGGACAACACAGCACGATTCCAGAAGGGCATATGTCATGTCAGAGAGAGAAGGGAAAGCAGCTATCTTTTTTTTTTTGGGTCGAAGAAAGAAAGCACCTTTCTAGCATTAGTGCATTACTATTCCTAATTAATTCTTTTACAATAAGAATAATAATATACTAAACTCTAACGGCTTACAAAATATTTCAATAATGGTGCTGTCATTTGATTTTCGCGTAGCCAGTTCAGATTTGGGAATGGTGGTGGTAGGCCGGCCGGCCGAGAGAGAGAAAGGTAAAATAAAGGGTTGAAAATGCCGGAACTCCAGTGCATCTTTTTGCATGGCACAGCGCCGATCCTAGGTATTATTCTGTATTCAATTTCCCCATCTTCTCTCGTTGTCCTCCAATTGGGCGATCTCCCGATTCCGCCTTTGAAATTCTGTGATCAGTTCGTTAATGTTGTTTCCGTCCTTCCTTCCTTCCTTCGATTAGTTTCTTCTCCCCGCTCTCTCTTGGTCCAGCTCTTAGTTCAAATTTTGGTTAGCATTTTGCATTTGGGGGTCGGCTTTGTTCCTTTCCTAAAACCCTTCTCGGTCGGGTTTTGTTGCGTAGAATCGGAAATGGGTTTTGATTCTTGATTTTTTCCTTGTTAGTTCTTGTAGCTCATACAGCTCTGGATATGGTGAGGTCAAATTTTGTGGTGATCTGCTGATCTCCCCTCCATATTGTGATATTACTTACAGGTTGATCGTCCGGGAACCCAATTTGTGAACGAACCTGGTCTTTCCTTTCCCTTCTCAGTGCCAAAATCCAAGATAAATACTTGGTTCTAGGAGGGAAGGAAAGAGAGGTTTCGTGTCCGTTGGGGGATGAGCTTGTGAGCAGAGTCTCTGAACATGAGTGCCGTTTCTGGTGTGTTATCACGGCAAGTATTACCAGCGTGCGGTAGCCTTTGTTTCTTTTGCCCTGCTTTGAGGGCAAGGTCCAGGCAGCCTATCAAGAGGTACAAGAAGCTCATAAGTGAGATTTTCCCCAAGAATCAGGTGAGAGACTCTTTGACTTTCAGTTGCCTTTTTACCCAAGTTTCTGTGTTGAAATTGTTTGAGAGAGTGAGAGCGGGTGCTTGTGCTTGTAAGGGACTTGTTTTCCTTCAGCTATGGCCCTTGTGCTTGCTTCTTGCACCAACTAATTGGGATGAAATACCCCTTTCGGATATTGCTGATTGGTGTTATGTTAACCTCCTGTTCTTGTAGCTATTTTTTTTAGAGAATGCATCTTCAATTCTTTTCTCAACTTTACTTGGCGATTCACCATCTTGAGATAGATGCTTCTGTATATGTTAACAATATTGATGCGTATTAATGGCAGGAAGAAGGCCCAAATGATAGGAAGATCGGTAAACTTTGTGAATATGCGGCTAAAAATCCTTTGCGTATCCCAAAGGTACAGTTACCTTATTATAACTCAGGTGATGATAGCACCTTGCTTTCTGCATGAGCATACTCTTGGATCAGAATATGTGTAACGTTTACATCAGAGGTGTACACATGCTTATGCTGTTCTCATTTGTATTGCTAAGCAGACTGGTTAGTACTCAGACGGAGTACTACTATGCTTAAAATATCCCATTGCTGTTCTTGTTGGACCGTCGATGGTCAACTTCTCATACTTTATCTCCTTGCTTCACTTTTAATGTACTGGTGTCGATCCTTTTCTTACAGTAAAGTGTATCAATTTTAAACTGAAATAGGAGTTGTAGCAGGCCCCATTTATCTCTTACTAATTATTCTAGTGATATTTATTTATGAAATAATCTCTTTTGGAGCCGCAAGTTTCTTTATTTTCACCAATTACGTCATTGAGTTCCATCACAGAATAAAAAATGTCAATAAATGTGATGGTTAATGGACGTTGTACTCTTGACCAGATAGCAAACTCTCTTGAGCAAAGGTGTTACAAGGAGCTGAGATATGAGAACTTTCAGTCTGTCAAGATTGTGATGTGCATATACAAGAAATTGTTGATCACTTGCAGAGAACAATTGTGAGTCTATCCTTCTTCCATTACTTTGCTTTCTGTTCATGTGGCATGTCATGCTTCCACAAAACCTATTTGCTAAGCCAAATTGGCATCAATCATGATGTTTGGCCGAGGAATTTGCATTTTGGGATTTAATTGGTCTATCACCTTTTGTTTTGTGAATGATAATCCTTTCCTTGCACTGAGTGGTAGCATTTTTCAGCATTGTCGCAGTTTTAATTTGAAAATATGAGAGATGGTTTTATGTCTTCTTTCCCTCTGTTTTATATTTGGTTCTACACCTTTGAATGAACCAGTATACTTGTGTTGTTACATTCCGCTTTAACGCCTATCTTGGTGTCTGTTGGTGAACATTACACAGGCCTTTGTATGCTACTAGTTTAATGAACATAATTCATACATTGCTCGATCAAACGAGGAGACAAGATCTGCAACTTACAGGATGTGAGAGTCTTTTTGACTTTGTAAATAACCAGGTAGATGATGCCCCTTTCCCTCATTAACGGCAACATTTTCTTCTACAAAGAGAAAGAAGAGACTATTCTGCCTCATGGCAGTTTCTTGTGTAGCTTTCAGGTTTTTGCATACAGGATGCAACTCATTTGGTTTCATTAATTTTCAGAAGGATGGAACTTATGCATTTAATTTAGAAGGCTTTATACCTCAACTCTGTCAGTTAGCTCAAGAAGTCGGAGAAGACGAAAGAGGAGTTTGCCTACGGGCAGCTGGTCTCCAGGCTCTTTCTTCAGTGGTATGCATTTCCTTAGTTAATATTGTTTCACTAATTTGGAGGCTTAGTGCTTTCGAGAACGGTAACACAATCACAAACCTTTTTGTAACCAATCATTAGTCACTTAATATTCATCAAATCTTTGATTTCTACAAAAGAAGACCAAGACAATTTATTAAACATCCTTGCATCTACATTTATTCTTTATACGCTGATTGTTCAGAGAAAACCCAATGGTCATCACTTGATATGAGAATGCTGTATAACTTCCTTGCCTTTCCATAAGGAACCGCGAAAAGTAATCATCCAACTAAAAAAAAAAACAGCGAAAAATTATCTTCTCAAACCTTTTGTTATGCCTTACCATATGTGAATAAGTTCTTTTCTTTCCATGGGAAGATTTACCAAGCGCGGCTAAAGTTTTATCTATGAGAGTTTATATTCCCATAGGGTATCCTCCAAGATTACCACTGTATCTAGGCATGGAGTATTACCGGAAACAAAATGCTTCTTAATGGCTTAATCTTTCACTTTAAGTCATGGTTTAACGCAAATGATTCCGTACTGACTTGGTTCTTTCTCTTTGAAGGTCTGGTTTATGGGCGAGCATTCACATATTTCAGCAGAATTTGATAATGTAAGTTCTCTGTCTTGAACTGAAACTATGTGCAGATTTACAAAATTTCATTATTTTAGCGCTGGACAGTCCTCCATTCGATGCTTATTTTCATATCCTCCTGTATACAATATGGAATGTCCTTTATGCTATTGTAGTGCTTGTTTGCCTTCAAACATACCATTTTGTGTGCTTAAATTCCCGATGATGGATTCTTCAAGTGTTATAGTTACTATGCCATTATAGCTTCTCAGAATGAGGCATGAGTATAAATTATAATTGGTGCTTTTGTGCTCCTAAAAAGAGGAGACATGAAAGAGTTGGCCAAAGGAAGAAGTTCAATAGTTAGCTAATTTAGGCAGTATCTGGGCACATCCACTAGAATGAGAGTACAATTTCCATAAAAACAAAAGAAGAATTCACCAGTATTTTGACGTTTCTTTTGCATGACTGTGCAGATCGTTTCAGTTGTTTTAGAAAATTATGGAAACCCTGAGGATGTTCATGAGGAGCAAGGTAACCAGAACCAATGGGAACAAGAAGTGGTTAAAAATGAGGAACAGGGGTCTACTTCGTCTGAGATGCTTACCAGGGTTCCATCTTGGGGGACAATTGTAAAAGAAAATGGAGAATTGAATGTGACGGAGTAATTCCTCAGCCCTTAACCATTGATTATTATGGGACTAAATGTTGGTTTCATTAATTAATATTGAGATGTTGTCCTTTTGGTGGCACAGAGAAGATTCCCGGAACCCCTGCTTTTGGGCTAGGATTTGCTTGCAGAACATGGCGAAGCTAGGGCAGGAGGCTACAAACATACGGAGAATTTTGGAATCTTTATTCCGATATTTTGATAGTAGTGACCAATGGTCTCTTGATCACGGTCTTGCGCTCCCAGTATTGAACGACATGCAAATTCTTATGGAAAAGTCAGGTACACGAGTTGTTGCTTTTATTTTTGTGTCTGGGACCTATTCATGATTTCCAGTTTGCTTTTCGGATGGCTTCCACTATACACACTCTGAACTCTGTTTCTTTTATATAATTTCCTTGGGAGATTAGGGTATAATTCACATGTTCTGCTGTCCATGTTGATTAAGCACCTGGATCACAAAAATATCCTGAAAGAGCCAAACATGCAGCTAGACGTATTGAATGTCACCACCTCACTAGCTCAGCAAGCAAAGGTTGAGTCTTCGATAGAAATTATTGGTGCAGTTAGTGATGTCATAAGGCATTTAAGGAAGAGCATACAATGTTCTGTTGATGACGCTAACCTTGGGGCCGAGGTTAAGAGTTGGAACAAAAACCTGAGAGAGGCAGTGGATAAATGTCTCGTGGAACTGTCAAATAAGGTGGTACTCATGTCCAACAACAATTGTTTCGATGTTCACTTTCAACCATTTCCTCATTGGTTTCCTATTCCTTGATCTTGAAGTAGAGAATAACTGGATACTGGTGGTGCGTAGGTTGGAGATGCAGGTCCAATTCTTGAAATGATGGCTGTAGTTCTGGAGAATCTTTCAGCTGTTACAATTATTGCAAGGACCACAATTACTTCTGTTTATCGAACAGCTCAGATAGTTGCCTCATTGCCAAATTTGCATTATCAAAGCAAGGTAACATGATCTCTTGCATATCTCATTTACAAGCTTTGCATGCTACATTCTGTTTTTTATTTGAACCCTGTGTTTGTCGCAGACTTTTCCTGAGGCTCTATTTCATCAGCTGCTTCTGGCCATGGTCCATCCTGACTATGAGACGAGAGTTGGAGCTCATCGCATATTTTCTGTTGTTCTAGTGCCTTCTGCTGTTTTCCCGAGGCCAGTTTCAACTGGTCTTGATTTAAAGAGACAAGCTGAAGTTGAAAGGACCCTCTCAAGAACAGTTTCCGTCTTTTCTTCCTCAGCTGCTCTTTTTGAGAAGCTAAAGAGGGAGAAAGCGTCAAGCAGGGAAAATTCCTCTCATGGACACAAAGTAGATGCCGGCTCTGCAGGTAAAATGCAGAATGGGATGCTTGACAGATTGAGGTCATCTGCCAACCAAGGGAAAAATATTGCAACTGATGGTCCTTCATTGGCTGATGAAAAGTCCATCTCCAATTTAAATAAGGTGAATGGGTTGGGGAAATTTTTTCTTTTTCTCACCAATGCGGATCAGTTCAAGCATCTAATCATGTCTTTTGCTTTTGTACTTTCTTAGATTCCATTGTTCATAAATTCTTTGATCTAATGTCATACTTCTGAGGTGAAACAGAAGCTTCCTGTTGTAGATAATGCTCCTGGCCCTGTTAAAAACTTCATTCAGTGATTGTCTTTTTTACCCATTTATTTTGCTAATGTCAAGTTTCTGTTCTTCATTGTGTGCAAACCTTCTTAGACATATTCAAAATGGTCAAATCTGTAAATTGCCCTTCGAAAATGATTTTTGAGGAGACCTAGGTCCCTACTATGTCTCCAAAACTTACTTTTTCCACATTTGTGGTATGGAAGACATGATATTATTTCTTTTGGGCCAAGTGATGGTCATGATATTAGATTGTCGTTTGATGTACACCATGTTTCTGTGTTTCAGCTTCTTTCTCTTTGGTACTGAAGTTTTAATGACTGTAATGCTAATCAACCTGCAGGATGCTACTATTTTGAGGCTCAGCAGTCACCAAATTAGTCTCTTACTGTCGTCAATTTGTGCTCAGTCAATTTCTCCTGAAAATATGCCTGAGAACTTTGAAGCAATCTCTAATACGTTTAGTCTGGTGCTTCTATTTTCCCGGGGCAAGGTACTTATATTGCTGCTATACATCATTAAACATTTTTATTTCCAGCTAGTTGTTCCATTGATTGGGGTGTTGCCTGATTTTCGTTAAAAGGCCTGGAATTGCTTCACTTCTTATCAAAGAGTTACAAAGACTCAGGCTTGGTTTCTTGGATATATTCTATTAGATTTGAAGACCGATTTTAATGCGCACTAATCAAACTGTCTCGTGCTGAAAGTAATATTACGAGGATACGATATTTTTGCTTGATGGAAACATAGTTGGAAACATAGGTCAAGCCAATGGACACCCTATAGGAGAAATTAGACTTTTGTCCCTGTCATAATTTGTTTATCACTGGTTGGCCTAGGAAAATAACTTCTCCGATGGGATGTCTTTGACGTATCTGTTTACTAAGAAAGCTTGCTGTGGCCTCATATTTTTGCTTTCTGCATGAGAATGTTTAATTGTTGCACATCGTACTAAGTCTTGGAGTTTCAATATAAATACCTAAACGCACTTTGAGTCTTAACTCTTTGATAAGAAGTGATGCAAGTTTATGCTTTTTAGCTTTTCCATTTTGTTGTTGATTGCTTGTCTGCCTATCACTCTATGGTTTGGTCGATTAAGTCAAAATTCCATCTTTCATTCCTCTTCCATGTTAAGGATGGTCATTTTTACTCTGTGAATACACGTCACCTTGTGCCTTGCAGAACTCCAGTCATGAGGTTTTAGTACGCAGTTTTCAGCTTGCTTTTTCCTTGAGAAATATTGCTGTCAGTGATGAAGGTAAGCTCTCTGGCTTTTTTTCTGTCCTAAGATTAGAGCCCGGCAGGGCTGAATTTTCGCTGTATGCTTAGCAAATGAACATTTTGTATATAGAATGTACCCTGTGGACTCAAGAAGTTGGGCATGTGCTGATATTTTCCAGTTATGTGTGAACCAGTCCAGGACTGAGCAATTGATTTTTCATTTGTCTTGCAGTTTCTCTGGCCATATCACGTCGTAGGTCACTTTACACCATGGCAATTGCAATGATTCTTTTTTCATCAAAGGCCTATGGCATTGTTCCGCTTGTATCATCTGCCAAGCTGATACTCGCAGAAAAAATAGTACGTCTACTGTTACCGAGTAAACTGAAATTGCATTTTTGTACTGTTTCATAATCACTGTTGGAATATTATCCTTTTTGGTAGTCGCATGCACAAAGCTGATATTTTTCCTCCCCCCACATCCTTTTCCCCTTTCTAATGCTGTACCATTATCATTTGTCAACCTTCCTCTCTCGAGTCAGGTGGACCCATTCCTACGTCTAGTTGAGGACCGCAAGCTACAAGCTGTAAGTGGTGAAACTGCTAACACCAAAGTTGCTTATGGATCTAAGGAAGACGGTAAGTTGGCTTCGAAAGCAATTTCATCTATAAGCATCACTGGAGAACAAAGCAAGGAATACTTTGCTGCGGAGATCACAAAGACCTTATCAAATTTGTCAGAAGTACGTGCAACTTTTCTTTCCCCTGATGTTAATCTCATTATATTGTTCTATTCATGAGGTTTTGATACAACAACGGATGTCTTGTGCAGTCTGAATTGTCTATTATCAAGCAGCAGCTCCTTGAAGAGTTCTTGATAGATGATACGTGTCCGCTTCCAGCTCCATCTTCCCGAGACACCGCTCACCAAAATCAGCTTGATGCCAAGGATGACTCTTTGGAGGTACTGTAGTAGCTATGTTTCTTCCCAATTTCGTTGAATTTTCCGGAGACCAAGTTCTTTGTATTGTTAGTTAACATCTTAAGCTTGCATCTGCTTCTTTATTCAGAGTGATGATTTTATTGAATCACTGGAAGGAGTGGCCAATCGGAATAAGCAGCCGGCCTTGCAAAGCCATGATGTGCTGAGCGTCAACGAACTTCTAGAATCTGTATGCCCCTTCTTTATGTTACTAAAGGAAGCTGATTGATTTATTAGATAGATGAATCTGAAGGAGAACTTAGCTAGTCATTTTAGCTGTCAGTTGGCATACTTTCTACAGGAAGCACAACTTCTGATTGCAGTTTTCTATATATGTAAACCAACAGGCATTGGAGACAGCAAATCAAGTTGGAAGAATGTCTGTAACTGCACCTGATGTTCCTTACGAGGAAATGGCACTTCATTGTGAGAAACTCCTGATTGGGAAGCAAAAGAAGATGTCTCATGTCATGAGTCTCCACATAAGGCTGGTGAGTGCCAGTCAAATCCCCCAGTAGGGAGCAATTATTCGATGGGGGAGGTCTAACTGACAGCTTATTTGTCTTTGAAAAATGCAGGGTAGCTCTCCTTTGCTAGACAAGAACTCCACCGCGGTCCCCCAAAGACCACCGCTTATCCCTCTTGCTCTGCAATGTGCAACAGAGTATCAAAATCAGGGTAACTCTCTCCGCCTCCCGGCATCTAGCCCTTATGATAAGTTCCTCAAAGCTGCTGGTTGTTAACACATCCGAACAAGCTCAAGATATCACGAGATGAGTTCGCTTGCTTACTGAACAGACGATCTATATATATGTATTTCATCCATTCTTTGATTCTTTTGTTCAACATTCCGAGTTTCCCATTCTTTCTATTCAACTACACCAATTTTTCCGGCTGTTTGATTCATTCTGTTTGTTCATCATTGTACAAAAAAGCAGAAATACGAGTGAAGGCGAATTCCGTAGATTTCTTCTCTCTGTTCAGTATTGTTGTATAGCACACAAGTGACTGAACCTTTCATGTCATCTACTTCAATCCTTCATGAGTCATGATCAGTATTGTGCAGAATGTTCCCTTTTTCTGGAAGAGAAACCTATAGCTCAACACTACTACTACGCTGCCGGGGCATAGGCCACGGTGCAATGAGGCAGAACCACGATCCCGGACCTCATGAACGCGCAACTGCGATCCAACAGTGAAAGTTTAGCACCAGCCAGACAAGAAGTACACTCCGAAACACCTACGAGCGGACTGCAGAAGGCGACGCCCGAGACGACATCATCCGCCGAGGAACCGGGAGGAAAGGTGGTGGAGTAGCGACGACGGCCTTTAGTTGTCGGGGTCACATCCACCAACTCGTCAAGTACTTTCGCTTTATGCGCCTCGAACGCAGCTGAAGAGCCTGTGTCGTCGCAGTATGGCGCGCCCCAAGTTTCTTCAGTAGTAGTAGCAATCCTGCTTCCACTCTGACGACTCTGATCAGTGCCGACTACGACTACTGCTCCACCGGCGGCGATGATTGTTAGAACAACTGCTGCTGCTACTGCTACTGCTATTCGCGGAGCGTTCTTCATTGTGATGGAGTTTGAACTGATTCATTGATGCATGCTTTTTCGTGTGTGTGTGTGTATATAGAGGATAGTTTCCTTTGGTTGTTACAGTACTGGCGCCGGAGAAAGATGTTCGAATTCGTCTAATTCCATCCATGAGTTTGCATGGCATAGGATTTTCTTCGGCAGTGCTGCCAATTGTCAAAGAAATGACGGCAATTCCGATCTGCAGAGCGTGTTACAATAAGTCAATAACCTTGAGCCAAACTTTTTGTAGTTGTCTGCGTGGTTTACAACAATCTACTACGTTCCAAATTGTTTGTAAACTAGACCAATGTTGTTTGTTTAAATTCAAGTGCACTATACAAACTGAAACAGATCATTTGTATGATGAACAGTTTGCAAACATATGTTGCCATTCCAGAAGGAGAAAGAAAGTTGATTGATCTGGGAATCAAACAGTGAAATGATAATACCAATAATTTTATCCAATTGTCATAACCTATACGAGTATTAGGTTGGATTCAAATAGATCAAAATGTACATTTTTAATGAATTTAAGTTTTGCTTGGGTCTGGATTGGTTTAAGTCCAATTTGGGTGAACTCATTTGGGCCCGACCAACTGAATTCAGATGATTGTACATGTAATTTCGCGATAATTTCATTAACTCTCTTCAACTGAGTTACACTCAGTGGCGGAGCCACTTGGAGAGGAGGGGGTGAAAAAAAAAAATTCTTCAGTAGGGGTATATACAAATTCGAACAAGTGATGATTCATTTGCATGAAGAATTCCTTACCATCTCAACAGAGTGAGTTTTGTTATGCAATGCAATTTCGTATTTATTTATAGTAATAAATTGTTGTTTTTTGTTTAAGCAAAGCTGAAAGTGAAGAAGTACCAATTGAAGTTCACTTGTTTGTTTCACAAAATCAATTCCAAGGTACTTCCGAGTTCTAATTTGTAATATTTGATGAATGGAAGTCTTGACTTGTATGTACTGAACTTATTTGTTTGACGTTGTAACCGGTGTACGTGAAACTATTTTTATATAATTGTATGAATTTTGAGTATTGCGTTGTCGACTTTTTGTTTCATTTAGAGTTGACTTTTCTATTATATATGTAATTTTTTTTATAATATGATAAAGACACCCCTAAGGACCAATTTTCTGGCTCCGCCACTAATTACACTTGTAATAATGCAGGTGTGTTTCTATCTTTCTGTTATTTCATAATAAATAAAAGCTAAGTGTTGGGCATGTGACTCGGGCCTAGCCGCGCCAAGGAACAAGTCGGGCCCAGCCACGTTAAGGAACAGTGCGCGACTAAATATACCCCGATGTGGCAGCGCGAAGACCCCGAGCGCGACACCTCGTCGTAGTTAACCACGTCTTGGCGCGAAGAGCTTAGGCGCGGAATGGGTTACATGCGCCAAGTGAGAGCATAGCGTAGGCTAAACCAAGGGACGAGGAAAGCGTAGCTTTCCTCCCCATAAGGTAGTCACATCAGGCCCATGGATAGGCCTCTGACACGTCCTAGGTAGAGGGATGGCCAGGACATGGCCTAAAATCCTTAGTATGTTAGTGGTCACATCATTGTATCCCAGTAGTCACATCATTGTATCCTCGCATGAGTCAACCACTCACCCACCACCATGAAGCCTATAAATACGGCATTTACTACGGTGGGTGAGAGGGGGCATTTTTCGGGCATTCTCACTCTATAGCGACGACTTCTCTCTCAAAAGTTCTGACCCTCACTCATCGTACTCTTCCATTCTTCTCCTTCCGATCCATTCCCACGCTTGCGTTCTTCTTGACCCAAACTCTCACCTGAATCTCACTCCTACACCCAGTTAGGTTCAAACAATTGGCGCCCACCGTGGGGCCAAGAAGAAACGCAGAAGAAAATCCACCGATGGCAGAACGCAACCACGACCAACCTGACGAAGCGACGCCAATCAAGGCAATGACCAACCCGAGGGCGTTCACAGAAGCCAGCGACCTCAACGCGGTGCTCATCGAAGATGAAGAGCCCGAGCTGACCGCCAAGGAAATGAGGGAGCTGGTGACGAAGCAAAACAACACCATAGCTGACATGCAGAAACAAATGAGCCAAGTCATTGCGCTCATGTTGAGCAGGGAGGCCGCGCCGACAGTAGACGCGACGGCGGTCGCGCCTCTACAAGCTTTGGGAGAGGCGTCGGGAACCGCCCAACTGCCACTACAAGCGCCAGCAGAATTCCCCGCGTGCGAAACGCAGGGAATTGAGCCACCAGGGCGGGCGGACCTCAGCTTTTTAGAGCAACACTTGTCTCCACAATACCGACCCAACCCGCCTAAGAGGGTCCTCCACCAGCCGTTGAGCGCGCAAATAATGGCAGAGCACCTAAGCGGGGCGCCACCCACCCTACCAACATACAACGGCACAACCGACCCAGAAGACCACGTGAGCACCTTCTGCTTGCGCATGCAACTCCAAACCAACTCCAACGCAGCGCTGTGCAGAACCTTCCCATCGACGTTCTCCGGAATATGCCTCGACTGGTACAACCGGCTCCCGAACGGAATCATCCGCTCGTTCGAGGAGTTCATACTTCTGTTCACAACAAAGTTCGCGTCCCAGAAGCGGCGTCCTCTACACCTCAAGGCCCTAATAGATATCAAGCAAAAGGACGGAGAAAGCCTGAGGGCTTTCTACGCTAGGTGGTCCAGGGTGGCCATGGCCGTCCGCGACCTTACCCCCGAAACCGCCGCCCATCACCTCATGGAGGCCACCAGCAACATGGAGCTCAAGCGGGCGCTAGCAAAAAGGCCCGTGACGCTGTCAACAGAGTTGGAGATGAAGATTGAAAAAGCAATCACGTTAGAAGACACCCTGGGGGCAGGATCCGTCAGACGCTTCGAACCAGCAAAAGTGCCACGAGAGGAACAGGGGCGTCGGCAGCCCCCAATCCCAATCCCACGAGATCAATTGCTACATATGCACAGCGGCCCAAAGCGCCTCCCTCCTCCTCCTCCAGAGCAAGTTCAGCGCGGGCGATCGCAGGACAGGCGCGCGTCCAACGCTTACACTCCCCTTAACGACTCCGTGAGAAACGTATTCCACGTTCTCCGCGAGAAAGGCTACAGGCTCAATTGGCCTGCACCGTTGAAGTCATTACCCCACATGCGCGATCCAAAGAAGCATTGTGACTTCCACAGAGCAACGGGGCACCAGACGGAAGACTGCCGAGAGCTACGGTACGAGATAGAAGGCTTCGTGCGGCGAGGATTGCTGACCGAGTTCGTTCACGTAAAGAAAGAGCAAGTTGGGGGCCCGCAACACCCGCCGCCACCCCCACAAGCCGACTACGATGATGACACTGGCGCGTATGTGGTGCGCAAAGAAATCGGGGTGGTGACAGTTGAAGGAGATCGCCCCAAGAAAAAAACCAAGCGTGAGCGCGCGACGGAGTGCGCGGCCGTCGACGCACGGACAAGATTCAATCTGAGCTTTGACGACGCGGAGTTCCCACAAGGGGTCCCGTCAGAAGAGCCACTCATCGTCACCGCGCTAATTGCCGCCTGCAAAACCCACCGCCTGCTGATAGATGGGGGTAGCGCGGCTGACATCCTCTTCCAGAGCACCATTAACAAAATGGACATAGACCCGCGCCTAATCAGGCGCGCGCAAGGCAACCTGGTCGGTTTCTCCGGAACCCGAGTCCCGGTAATTGGAGTGGTCACCCTCCCAGTAGTGATTGGAGACCAGGAGTCGCGCGTCTCCAAACAAGTAGAGTTCACAATCGTCGATTGTGAATCGGCGCACAACGGCATCCTAGGCCGACCTTTTCTTGCGAAGTTCATGGCCCTCCCGTCAACGTGCCACCAGAAACTCAAATTCCCCACACAGAGAGGAGTTGGGGAAGCACGGGGAACGACATGGGAAGACCGCGAGGAGGTGCGCCAAACCAACATCGTCGACACAAGAGCAGAAGAGCCCCGACCGGAATCCATGGATTCCGATTTCGAGGTCGCGCTGGACCCCGCCGAGCCAACTAAGAAAATACGCATCTCCACTCATGTCAGCAGTGACGCAATCGAACCACTCGTGGCGCTGCTAAAGGAGTACAAGGAGCTGTTCGCGTGGTGCACCGAAGACATGCCAGGAGTGCACAGGGAGGTAGCTCAACATAGCCTTGCGGTCCCAACCAACGCGGAACCAAGGCAGCAAGGGCGGAGGACATTCACTGGTGATAAACTGAAGGCGATAGAAGAAGAGGTAGCGCGCCTACTAGCAGCAGGCTTGATCCGCCCCGTGAAATACCCAAAGTGGCTGGCCAACGTGGTCTTGGTCAAGAAATCGTCAGGAGCCTGGCGGATGTGCGTCGACTACACCACGATCAACAAAGTATGCCCGGGAGACCCTTATCCCCTGCCGCGCATCGACCAGCTGATCGACGCGACCGCCGACCATGAGACCTTGTCTTTCCTCGACATGTTCTCAGGGTACCACCAAATCCCAATGTCCATTGAAGATGAAGAAAAAACGGCTTTCATGACGCCGTTCGGAAACTTTTGCTTCGTGGGGATGCCGTTCGGATTGAAAAACGCGGGCGCAACGTACCAAAGAATGATTGACACGGTTTTCTCACGACAGATCGGGCGGAACATCGAGGCATATGTGGACGACCTCATTGTCAAAATGAAGGTGGGCAAGTCACACCTGGAGGACCTGCGAGAGACTTTCGAAGCCCTCCGCAAGCACAGCCTTCGCCTCAACCCACTCAAGTGCGTTTTTGGAGCGGAAGCAGGGAAATTTCTTGGGTTCATGATAACCAAGCGCGGCATAGAGGTCGACCCGAAGCAAATCACCGCGGTCCAACAACTACGGGCTCCCCGGAACGCGTTGGAAATCCAATCTCTGAACGGCAAGATAGCGGCACTAGGGAGGTTCATACCAAGGTCCGCCGACAAATGTGCGCCCTTCTTCCAGACACTCAGGAATGGCGCGCGTTTCGCATGGTCCAAGGAGTGCGAAGCAGCATTCCAGGTACTAAAAGCATACCTTGTATCCCCCCTGTACTAACCGCCCCCAAGATCAATGAAAAACTCTTCTTGTACCTCGCTGTGTCGACAAGGGCTGTAAGCGCAGTACTGATATCCAGAAGGGATGACAAGACTGAGCAACTGGTGTATTACACTTCGCGTACGCTCGTTAGTGCGGAAACAAGATACTCCTCGATAGAAAAGGCTGCCCTGGCTCTGGTAAGCGCGTCACAGAAATTGCGCCCATACTTCCAAGCGCATCAAATTACTGTCCTGACAAATCTTCCGCTAAAGAAGATCCTGACCTCAATGGAAGGGTCGGGGCGCAT